CCACTACTGCTAACTCTTTGAATGCTAAAATATTTTCTTCCAAAATACTGGAGAACATTTTTTCCAATTTTTTGTGTATTTTTCCCATGATTTCTTTTGTTAATTTTGAACTAATTGAACATGCAAGTTTTGAACAACATTTAAAACAAAAAATTTAGAAACAAAAAATTGGAATAATAGACATTCAACGGATTAATTCAATTGTAATGAGCAGATAATGGGAGGGAGGACTACTTTTCGGGAATGGTTACAGTGGTAGTGAAAAGGCTTGTGATAATCTTGACTTGTGATGCAAGATGTTATTCCTGTTTCTACACTTGCACTAGAAGCAATAACTTTATCCCCATAGTCTGAAACCTCTGAATGCCATGTGTAGATGTAACATTTCACGAATGTTTTAGTACTAAACTGTAACTAATGTTGTTAATTTTGAACCAAAAGAGCATAATTCTCCATTAGTTACTGGTCTTAATCAAATTTTTTGTAAAAACCTGAGGGGGAAAATGGTGGTGTATTTGTGAAAGGTCACAGCAATTGACTTTGGCGCTCAAAGATTTAGAGTGACACCGTTAATATTTATTTAAATAAGCAAAATAAAATAATGAGAAGAAAAATGAAAAAGAACTACTAGAAACAACTACTGAATACAAAAACTCAATTTAATCTAGTATTGAGCATTTAAGTACCCTTTCTATCCTGTGTTCCAGCAAAATCTGAAATGACGAAAGCAGAAAGAAAGAGAAAAAAAAAAGGAAAAATGCAAAATTATTAACACACACAGCACACAATTACAAATTAAAAAAAAAAATATGTTAGCAACAAAAAAACCACACAAAGATCGGTGTGTTCCCAGAATTCCCCACAAATGAATGGAAGCAACTAAATCATCAATTAACAAAAAAATGTATATAAATTGGGCACACTACCAAAAATAAACGGTTCGCCAAGGTCAAATTTCTACTTATTTCAATCTTATTTGTCGAAATGAAACTGAACGAGAGAAAGTCAATTCATGAGGGTCTTCCATTTCATTGCAGATTCTTATCAGCTGAGATCACAATTTATATTTGAACAGAATTGAGATTAGATTCGTTACCCGTGATCTGTCTCGCTGTCGCCTTTTCTGTTTCTCTTTTTGTTCCTCCATGTCCTCTCGGTAGAACTCAAAGTATCTATGGTCTATCAGTTCCTCGCACGTTAGTCTCGATGCAGGGTCCATTTGTAGGCAATCCTACGTACATGCAATGACATTAAAGTTACAGAAATAAGAGAATGAAGAAAATTTGCTACATAACATAGTGATAAAGCTCAGTAAGGAATAAATCGTAGTAACAAAATAAGTTATTTTTCTATCCTTTTATTTACACTGTACATTTCGTTCATATATTAGTTTTCGATAACTGGTCTACAGTGTGATGAACCGAATAACAACCCATGTATATGTGTATCACTCCACTGAAACGACTGACAATCAATGTATGTGTGTATCACTCCACTGAATTGAAGTTCTGGCTGTTCATGAAATAGTTTCCTGTCACTGTAAATACCGGCTGCAAAGCTTACATGCTTCGTACTTTGTATTTCAACATGTTTTTGATTGAAAAATGAGTCATTTAAGTGAAAATACGTCAAAATCCGCAGGTCATGTCCTGCCTACAGCAGATTATTATCAACTTCCTATAAAAATGGTCAAAGGTCACAACATATTTGGTTGTTTTGACAAAGATTAAACAGAATAAGAATAAACAAACTTAAAGGTAAGATGCAAATTTTACCTTCATAAAACTTAGGGCATGTTGACTGATTGATGGAAATTTGACTTCCAGTGGCTCCTGTAGGTAAAGAGAAGCGGTAAATATATAAAATTAAAAAATGTAAAGAGAAAAAAAAACAAGATAATGACATTGACTGACAAGGAATGCTACAATGTACATATTGATAACGGTAAGATACCCGCCGCTCTAACATGATCGCGATTAATGTAACGTACATACATGAAACTAACCTTGGGCTTATGGAGATAAACAAAGCCAGAAAAAAATATGAAATGAACGTAGGTTAGTTAAAATTATTGATAAGAATAATTTTGTGAACAGAAATAAATTTTGTGCAAATTGTCTTTAGTATTTAGGATTTAGAAGGTGAGGGTAGGTTAAGGGATGGGTGTGGCAGGGGGTTAAAGGTTGTTTTAATTGGTACATGCAAAATTTACGTAACTCCAATTTGAGGCACCTTTCTGTATGTGAACCATGATCTAGCTTGGGCCACCATTTATGCACTTAACACATTGAGCTTTGTATACAGATACCAACCAATATTATTTTTTTTTTTATAAAACTGGGATATGAATATGGAATTATATACTCTATTTGAAGACCATCTCCAGTATACGTATATAAACAGAGATTCAAATTTGGATCTATATATAAATATGCCTTATGCGCATGTGCTACTAATAGAGCAAATACAGTAAAAAGTAATTTTTCTTGACGAACATACTGGATTATGATTACTAAACTAAACACATTACTTCGGTTAGCACACAAATAAGTAACTGTATCCTGGTATGCGCGACTTAATGCAAACCACATTTCTGTAAATTCAATATTTTAACAATAAAGTATCAAATTGTGTGCCGCCAAAACTATGTGTGTTTTTTTTTATTATTCATTGATATTAAACACACAATAATGAACACCTTTATTTTTTTATTTTAGTAAATACATTCATTTAAAAAAAAAATATTTATCACTGGCCATCAGAAAGGACCTCATTTTTTGTTTATATTTATATTATGATTCCATGCTGTTGACAAACAAGGTTGGGGACACATGCAATTAATTATTATGACAAATGGGAAAAAAACATCCCTCTATAAATATACAAAACGAGTTGTGCCCACATGCTCATTATACCTATTAATGTGAAAAAATTACATCAAAAATATTATCTATATTTATTTATACACTAATCACTTCGCTACCACAAAGACCATATCTATACGTCACACATCAGTAATATGATATAGTAATACTGTAAAGACAATATATTTACACTTGTAACCATTCAATTATCAGTAAAAAAATTGCAATTTGATGGCTTTTGCGGGATTACATTAAGGCCAGACTTTTATTATCCCTTGTTTCGCGAACCCGTCGAATGAACAGGAGCCGAAAATGAAATAAAAGTATAATTTTATTTCAGCGTAATTTCTCGTGCCCGCCGACTTGTAAGCGCAAAAAAATGCTAACAAAATATTATTTTTATCTTCATTTTTTTACTGCCCGCCGCATAACAAATCCAAGTTGCATTTTTGTGGGAGTATCATGATCAAAGTACCTAAGTCTCACGCAGATGAGAAACAAGCTTATACATGAAATAAAATTTATTTCATTTCTTCTCTTCGATCAATGATCTCACTTACAATTCTTTACAATTCCGCCCTCCTCAAAAAAATTGCCTTATAAAAACTCGCGAAACAAGCAATAAAAAAAGTCTGGCCTAAACAACAGTAATCGTTACTTCCTGAAACTAACATCAGTTTTTACTACTATGATACATTGCCAGTTTTTGACTTGTATAAAAAAAAAATTGGTTGTAGTATATAATATTATGCCCATGTAGCCGTTAGCATGCTATGACGCATTTATATTCTTGGGGCCTACAGCAATAAGCATCTGCATAGCGACTGCAACGCCTGCAATGATCTAGTTAGGAGATGCTCGAACAGTAATCCATATTTCATATTTTCCATTTTCATTTTACGAAACGTAACATTTTTCTCAATTCCTCATCAATTAACCGACGTCCGTGGATGATAAGCTCATACATCTGAAGTCTGTTGGCCATTAGTCCATGTACGTAATTTACAAGACAGACAACGATGATATTTAAATAGGACATCTAGAGAACTGACATCGCCACGGATATGAAATTGCTACCTACGCGGACAAAGTGTTAAACGTACGTATGCCAAATACAACAGTCTCTGACATGGTAGCAAAGTGATTAAATTTACAATCATATTTAAGTAACATACATACATAAATCAACCAATGAAATGGACTAGCTATATTTAGAATACAGAATGATGCATTATTACATTCGTTACGCACGACTACATTTTAATACGCTAAGTAATTTTTAAAAGTATTCGAAACCTGGATTAAAACCAGTTTATAAAACTTACTACCCTTTTAAGCAGCCGATACAAAAGAAGACTTAAGTTTGCAACACCCCCTGGGGAGGTCAGGGGTCGAGTGGTCATTCACAAGAAAATCAGTCATGCATGTTGATTTACTTTAAAGTATTAAAGTATTTCCTCAACACCTTTAATTACCCAAGTATATTCTTTATTGTGTTATCCCCCAGGAAAATCCTTTTCTGGCACAAGGCTGACCTGCTTATTCCACCCTCTGACCCTAACACTGAAATAAAGCTTGGATAAAATTTACCCAAAATGCAATTTTCAACAGGCACAGGTAGGAGGTCCAAAATTCAGAATCATATATCATATCACATGATAGACTTGTGTTCAGAATTTTTCTCCCTGAGCATCAAATTTGCAAATCACAAGCCATTAAATTAAAAAAAACAGAAATTATGTAAATCAGGGAAGGAGGTCAATAAGCAGGTCAGTATTTGTTGGTTATCACAATGCATGATGGGTAAAACATTTCTTATTCCCTTATTTTAAAATGATATATTATATATTTTTTTAATTTTATTGGGTTGCAGATTCTTGCAGATTTGGTAATTACCACAAAAGTAAATCGTTTAGCACCGCATACTGTACTGAATCTAGGTCGCTGAGTACATGAACAACAAAAAATTATAGTCAGCTTATTTTGAAAAAAAAATTGTAATTTATATTAATAAAATTGCTTGAAAAAAGAAGAAGAAAATAGGAAAATTTTCGCAGGGAATTTAGATACAGCAATGATAATTTGAATACAAAAGTGTTAAGCCCAACATTGTTTTTTTTAGTCACGGGTCAGTATGAACTGGAGCACATGAACTTTGACCCAACAGCAGCTCATCACGATTGTCACCGGATTCGGCAGTACACATATTCTTTACTCACAAAACAGCTTTGTTTATAACCTTTGACACCCCCCCCAAATGCACATTGTAATTGGAAAGCAAAATTGCGTAGTTTCCCCTCCAAGAGCATCCCTGAACGGGTTTTGTTACCTGCACATGAGCACTGAAAAATGTTAGGATGGGGCTGATAGAATGAAATGTTACTCCATATGTTATAGTAAGAATAAATCTACTTTCTGGTCAGCGTCTCCATGCCGTGAGTTCACGGGACGCATCTTTCTATGTCTAACATTGAACTTACCATAATATCAGGTTCTGGAATCGTTAAACCTTGAAAAAACTGATTCTGGCTAAATATCTGTTGATGGCGAGCTATTAGATCACCTAGGAAACAAAAACAAACAAATCAATCATCTTTAAGATGGTCAATGTTCACACATTGTAGATATACAAAAAAAACATGCATCGTAAATATTTGTCACGTCTGAATAAATGGCTGAGTTATGGGAATCGGTGGAGGAATGGTATATTCATAAATAGCTCATTAGAAGGGCAATAAATTGCTGTGGTCTGGCATCACTAAACGAACAATTAAACCCCCCTGCAAAAAAACCACATTTAATGCATATACCGGTACTACCGCAGATAATTACATTTCGAACATACCCCCAGTAGCTGCCATTCTGAACTATTTTGGGTTTCGATTTATTTATCATCATTTAAGACAGCAACTGCGAAAGAAGATACAACACACGATCTTTGACTGTGGCGAGAATAGAAGGAACACGAGGAAGCATTAAAGACGATGATAGTAATTAAACTCACGTACCTAATGTTTTTCTGATTAGATATAGCTGATCAACGTCAGACTTGCCGGGCCATAATGCCAGCCCGCTTAGAAGTTCGGCAAAGACGCAGCCGATAGCCCACACGTCTACAGGTGGGCCGTACTGGGTATCCCCTACCAGTAGTTCTGGCGACCTGTACCATCGTGTGGCAACATAGTCTGTGTATTCTTCTCCGGGAGCTATAAGTTAGAGAAAGAATAGTACACATTACTGATGAGCAATTTGATACCAACATGTGTGGATAAATTCACAAATTAGCAATATACAGTAATTCAAAAACATAAAAAATTTTGTCTCTCAGAATTTACCCCAATAAGATAAGTTCCTACATTATCAAATATCTTTTCTGTTGTTCCTGTTTTACTTTTTTTTAATGAATATTACCTTTTCAATTTTATCATATATTTTGAAAATTGGTTAATTTTGGGCAAAATGAACATAATTTCACATTTGCTACACGTCTTGATCAAAAGATATAGAAAATATTATGCCGTTTTTATTCTGAGGGGTGAAGAAAGTTAACTTCAATAGTGCTCAAATGGTTAAGTGAAACTATAGACATTCATAATATATTCATGACATTGTTGAATATCTTGTGTAACAATATATTATTAAAGAAAAGCATAAAAAAGCGTTCTTATGCAAATGCAAATTTTTTTTTTCTACAAAAATAAAAAATAAACCTGTCTTTTCAAAAGTTAGAGGGGTCATATACATTCAACATTCGCACTGAGTAAGCAATCGGTTCAAAGCCAATGGCTTTTTTTTTCATTCGAAACATGAAGCTTATTTACTTGTAAATCATTTGAATTCACCAACATTTTCTCAACAAATTTTTTTTTTTTTAAATTTCTTTGTTAATTTTAGACTAAGCAATTAGTTGAATGCACAGTTCTTGTTTCTTAATCTTTTCCCACGAACATCATAAAAAAAAGCAACAAACCAAAAGTTATTTCATTATGAGCCAATGACAACGACAACGACAGATCGAGTCAAGACATATGAACAGAGTATCGTTCTGACGATACAACACCCACTATTCAGTTCAACATATCATTGCAAACAAAAGGCCACAAAAGGTCACACACATCCCAAGGGGATTACAGGATACAGACTTAATCCAAGGGGGATTGAAACTGTCTGCAGTTACAATAATCGTTTTTTATCACACCACTTTGGGAATAGAAAAAGAAAAAGAAAGCAAAAATAAAGGTTATGTCAATCATTTGTTTGGACGGCAAAACTTAAAGGTTCAAAATAGGTCAGCTCATAGACACAACTGTAGATTTTTAAAAAAGAAAAGAAAATGGCCGCTAACTGTGATCTGATTGTACATTTTATAACAAAATGTCAGTTCACACATTTTTGTCAATGATTATGCAAAATTTCACATCTTAGATATAACGGTAGTTGGACTAAAAAAAAAATGGTGGCAGTTGCACAAAAATACGACAAAATGGTGACAGTTGGACTACATTAAAAACAAAATGGTGGCAATTTAACTATTCAAAATACAAAATCACCGCCAAAAATTACAAACATAAGCCACTGCAGATAGGTGCAAAGTTTAATTAAACAAAATGGATGCCTGTCAGCCTTCTTAAATTAACTCAATATAGATAAATGATGTGCAAATATACACAAATGCCTTGCCGAAGAATAAATCAAATCCATTGATGTGAGTAAAAAACTAAATAACAATTGCACATTTCTAGACTGAATCATTGAGGCAGTATTTCAATAGAAAAATTACACCACCTCGGCACCTAGCACATATTTAATGAAATAAAGTGGTTCCCCGAAAATTAAATCTTGCCAAAAAAGCCAACACAAACGAATCAATTAGATATATAAATATAATGAGCCAAAAATAAGATTCCTATATAGTACACTATTACAATTACGAATAATAAGACATCCCTTAAACACAAATCGCCCCCCACCACATGTTTCCTAGGTAAAGACCTTCAAGTTTTGACAACTGTCTCTGGGCAGTCTCTGCACGACTACACCAAATAACCGGCAACTATGTTTGAATTGAATACATCGACAGCTCAGTCTTGTTCATCTTAACCAATCATTACATAATATTATGTTAACTGAGCAGCACTGACCAACAAGTGATAAACATTCCTGCTGGGCATAACAGTGATGCCAAGGAAACCACACACTGCAGCCGAATTAGCAATCACAGCTTGAGTGAAAGAAACATACAATAGATAGGACTTAACAAAACATGGCCGAAAACAGAACAGTCGTTGCCCTTTGAGCAAACTTTAAGACATATTTCTTCCAAAAAAACAAAAAGGCAAGTTTTACATCGTTGTTAGCAACTTATATTCTCCAATTATTTTTGTTAACACTTTCACATATACCGGTAAGACTTGAAATGCCGCCTTCTTCACAGCTTATGATGTTGACGATTGTGGAGGGTCACTCAGCGGAACTAAATCCTATTCACAAAAACAATCTCCCCTGGCCAGTTTTTTTCTGCGTCAATACATTGAGGCCATCAGGTAAATAATACAAAGACAGAAGGACCATAGAAACCAAAAAGAAAAACTTTCCCGTTTTTTTTTAACCCTTCCTTTCAAAACTTGGAAGTGAGGAGCTTGTCTCATTATTGAACACTTTTTTTTTCAGATGACTCTCGAGGACAATACAATTAGTAAAATTATAATAGGATACTGGATATAAATTGCAATGCATAATCATTGACGGGTTAAACTATGGGGGGAGGGGGCCTTTGGACAGCTCTAAAAACACGCTCCATGTTATTTAGGAGAAAAATGCTGGTTTGAATAAAGACAAAAACAAGAACAGTTCCTGGAGTATAGATTTATTTTGGGGGTTGTATTTATGGGTTTTTTTTTCTGCCCGTTCTCCTGCTAACGTATATATCACAATTCAATCAACATACCGCACGAAAATCGTCAAAACAAAAGTGGTCGTGGAAACAGAGCTATTGCTGAACAAAGCCAGTGAGATAACATCTCATACCTGTACGGTCATAAGGCCCGTTAAAATTCATGCACTAATGGACAAGGATAAAATAACTGGTTATGGATCTTTCCTCGTTCGTTTTTTTTTTCCCTGCAGCTGGTTAAGAAGTGGTAGTAGCACTTTAGTTTCTATTTGTTGCTAAGTTTGTCAACAGTAATTGACTAGCACGTCAGACTTTTATAATACGTTGTTAATTGAGCAGTGAGTAAGGAGACATTTCTCTCTCACCGATACTCGATATAGCAACCCGGGCCATTTAAGTTCATTTTATACCGATCGATCCAACGATACAGAGCGACACTGCCAAATACAGAGCGTCTGTAGGATTCTGTCAAAAGATGAAAAACGGCGGATAATAAAGATCTCATGCATAGGCAAGCATGCATCAAAGGATGCAATGTCTGTTTGTTTTGCGACAAACTCAAGGGACTCTTCACATTTCTTTGCAGGACACAAAAGAAGAAATACTACTTCAATCGACTATGTTAAAAAAGTTTTTTTTTTTAGTGTTTTATTTGGATCAGGATTTGTAAATGAGAGACAGAGACGCCCATTAAAAAAAATGTCATATAATATTGAGTAATCAATTTTCTGATTTCATTTTACTGACCTGATCTGACTTATATCAAGCATGGTGATAGAAACAGTTTTTAATATTTTTTATTCTAAAAAGAATATAGCAAATATCATTTTTATTCAGAGCAGAAAAAAAAAATAATAATTTTTCAACATCCTAGATCTACTAATCTCCCTCTCCAAAGCAAACACATTTACGCAGGTTGCCATGGCAACAGGAGAATATATCACACAGCAGCAGTGATACTAAGTATATTTGACTGGCATGTACTCTGTGAAATGACAGGCTATTCACAGGATTCATTGAATTTAGACTTAGAGTCTAAATTGAATTCATTGCCTAGATGCCATTGTACATGTTCCAATACCTATGCAAGTGATAAAGAGCTTGTATGTGTCGTCCTCCATAGAGGTTTGGCAAAGCAGGAAGTTTGGACCACCTAAGTGAAGTGCAATTATTGAAAATTTAATTTGCACTGCTCAATACATGTACACAGAAAAAAAAAAATTGCAATTTTCATAATTTTTTTTTTATTTAATCGATGCTGTTTATTTTCATAAAAAAAAATAAAGTGAGTTAACCTTCAGAAATGAAATCGATTATCATATTTCACTGATCACAGAATTATATCCGTATCCCAAAGTGGTCATTAAAACTTTGATTAACGGTGTTCATTATGAAGCCGAGCGTGTGTAACAGCCATTTTGAGGGTTTTTGTTTTTTTTGTTTACAGAAATAAGAAAAGGAAAAACACAGAAATGACAAATACATCCATTTAAATAATCTAATTCGGTAATCTAAGATTTAATCAGAAAAAAACACCTTGAATTTATTACTTTGCAAGCATTTTTGAATTTCCTGACAGAATAACGTTTTAGGAATATAAAGATTTACAACTGTTTGAATACTGGATGCAGTAACTCACCGTGCAGCAGTTAATACGTCGACCAATGAAGAATTAAAGCCAAATACAAGACGATTAAGCACCATTTATGTTTGATTTAGGAATTTACTTCTTAAGTATAAGAGATGATAATATTTTATGATCGTAAATTTGTAGGGCGTCAATGTTAGGATGTAAACACACCTGTGTTTAAGTTAAAATTTGTACTCAAATCAGCAGAAATTCGTTACATGTTTCTGGGTTGATTGACTAATTTTTTCTAATTTAAAATCATAAATGATTTTAAGTGAAGTAAAATTTAGATTAGGGCGGGGAGATGGGGGTGTAGAAGTTTAATTATTTATAATTATTATAGTTATTTGTGCACTTACATAGAATTCTGGCAAACCCGAAGTCGCAAAGTTTGACCTGCCCTGATTTTGTGATAAGGATATTTTCTGGCTTGACGTCACGATGAATACACTGTAGAAAGAAGAAAAAGGATCGAGAATGAATACATGCTTGTTAGAGAATATTATAATCAGCAGCAATTCAAACATTTAGTACATGTGAACTTGACAGGTTCTTTCAAAAGCAAGAGTCAAGCTGATTTTTTCAAGATTAACCGCTGTGGGTGACATAAAATTATCTTCTCTGATGACGGAAATTGAGTGCATAAAAAAAAACTATATCATCATATTCATGCAGCTGCTAGAAAAACGAGCAGTAAAACGACAAAAAAAAAATTATTAGTTCCGATATATAATGTATACAAAAAGAAAAGGCATTAAATTCAAATGTAACAAAAATAAATATGGAAATGGATTTTCAAAAAACAAAATTTAACCAAAAAAAGATGACCCAATTTACTTACATTATGTTGATGACAGAAATTGACAGCGTGTAAAGTCTGCCATATGATTCTCTTTGTATCCGGCTCAGGAACGCTAGAATAAAAGATACAGTCAGTTGGACGATAACTGTTCTGTACAGGCTTGGACGATAAGCGACCGCAACATATGCTTTGTGTAGTGATGCGCAAAGCATTTGTGCCAGTTTCAAGACATTTTTATAATTTGTTATTTAACTTTTTTTTTCAACCAACCAATAAACTTACCCTCTGGGATGGTGTTTTTCTAATTCATTTAAAACCGTCCGGTCACAGTATTCAAAAACCAGATGAAGTTTGCGTTTCCTTCTAAAGACTTCCAGTAAGTTCACCAAATTTGAATGTTTCAGTTGCTATGGAAAAAGGATAAAAATGAACATTTATAAATTATGAAGAAAAAAACATAATAACATAAGTCAAAATGGGCAAATGACTTTCATTTTACATTTTACTATGATCAGTTTGAAACGTCAATAGCTAGGTTAAAGCGACACTGTTATTTCTTCGTGCCATGTTCGATACGAGTTTGTGCGACTTGAAGTTATAACTGACATAATACTGGTATACAGCATTCAAAATTTGAAACCGTGCTGGATGATGTCTGAAGCTGTTAAATCTTGTACGGAAGATGAAATTGAACATAAAATTACAACATGAACTCTTTTGATTATGATTTTATTAAACCGTTTAAAAAAATTAGCGTCCAATGAAGAAAGCAATCCACCCCAAATAAGGAATATAAAATTTTGTACTATAGCTCTTGTATCAAGTGTCAGAGTACCATTTCAGTTAAACTGTGATGTCGTTTTATCTGGTATTACGTTTTTGTTCTTAGCTAGTCCTCGTCATCACAAAATCAAATCTGAACTAACAAGAAGAAGAAAAAGAAAGAGGGGGTATATTCTATAGCTTATTGAAAGTAAGCCTCCAAGACCCGTTGGATTCAATCGAGGCAGCAAGCACTCAAAAGTTACATACTTTATACATCACACCGTAAAAAAATACTATCACCAAAAATACAACCACAATGAAAGTAGCAAAGTAGCAATGTCTGATACCTGGACGGGTGGCGAGCCACTCAGAAAAGCGTGAGAATGAAATCAACACAGACGCAAAAGCACGATAAATCAATACCACTTTCGCCGATGCTGATCTTGTCACATCACGTTCTTAGCATGTAAAACAGAGACGGGGGGAAAATAACCAGTACAAAGCGAATTCAGAGTTGAAAAGCCTGGGGCTAACACTTACAAACTGCCAGCCATGCACATCCCAACTCAGATTACCCCCCCCCAGTGTTATTGAAGTTACAAATGTATGTGTTTATTGTTTCCGTACAGCGGAAAGAACATATGGGACACATATATAATGGTGGTTTGAAAGCAGAAACGAAAAGCAAAAAAAAACACGAGAGTAGACTGAGTTAAGAATTGTGGCAGCTGATTGACTGGCTGATTGACGAATGAGAATATTGATGGCTGTGCAAAGCTGAGTCAACAAAAAAACCCCACCATTGTACACTATCTATTACTTGTAATCGGTTCTAACTATTTTTTTGGAGAATAACGCCAAACACTTCACAAATGCTAGAAAAAATATCATTCAAACAGTGTGTTTGAAAAAACGACAGCCGGTCGGCTGAAAATGAAAAAAAAATTGAAGGTGAATTTTTCCCTGTGAAGCATTTAAACTGAATATTACACAGAATTCAGATGGAGAAATTCCAAACCTGAATAGATTTATTATATTATATAATGAATTGTGAATCATAAATAAATATTGAATAATGCTGTTCATTGGTTCAATCGGTATGATACGTTTACATTCAATTCTCTGGTTCTAAGTAAAGCAATAATTCAGTTTGCCAAAGTAACCGCAATTATTGCAACAAATTAGTTGCACCTCCGTAGCTACAGTAAACATATCCACCATGTTTGTTCACATGTTTGTTCATCAACTCAAATAAAAGAAGGAAAAAAACGTTAAATAATCATATTTCTCAGCTTGGTTACACATAGTAACAACGCATCTGAACTGCCAGGTAGTTTTGAAACTTATCAAGACACCCGATTCAGCAATAGGTTTGAACCGCATATACTGTGGAATACTTTATTTTCGCTGGAATTAATTTTCGCTGAAAAGGATTTTTGGGCGTTTTGTATGGAATTTATTTTCACTGATTTTTGACGAGTTTAAAGTGAAATATAGGAAAAAAAGTATATTGGCTGGATTTTATTTTCACAGAATCATCCCTTCAGCGAAAATAGCGAAAATAAATTCCAAGCGAAAATAAAGTATTCTACAATATCTGATAAATATTTTGCAGGATTATACAATACTTATAATTTAACCTAGACAAATGTGCGTTAGTATGTGCATGCAACTTGACACATCTACAACTACACATACATGATGCTAGTAAACTCATTTTCAAATATAATAAAAACTGACAATACTGCTAAGCACCTACAATGCCATTGTATTCAATGTCCAATTTTGAAGATTTATTATTATATTCATATCTATTCATTTTGGTATGCTATTTCCGACATGACAATCAATGCAAGAAAAATAATTAACTGACGATGAGACTGTACTTCGTGTTATTCTGCATTTTCTGAATTTGCTTT